TGTAATATCATTCTTAAATCAATTAGTTCATTAAATCCATTTTTAATTGTTAAATCAATCTTAATTAGATAAGAAAAAGCTATTACCTTTGGTGAATCAATTGAAGAAGAAGTTTCTATTAATTATTGCTAAATCTAATATAATTCTCTCATCCACCAAGAAAAATTTTACAAGGCTAAACCAATTTCAATAGGTCAAACTAGACTTGGCAAAACGGGTGGGTGGGTCGGGTACGGGTCAGGTCATCACGGGTATGGGTATGGGTATACGGGTTCAAAATATTCAACCCGTACCTTGCCTTATGCGGGTACGGGTGGACCCGTGGGTACCCTTTTTTTCTTTCTCTAGGTTTTTATTTTTACGTTTCACCCCCAATAGTTTTCAATTATGATAGTTACACCCCTAAAATTCCATATTAAGATATTGTAAAGCCCTTTCTTGCTACTAGGAACTTGAAATAATTGAAAGCAGCTCTACTTCACAACAAATGCTTTTATTTAATATAATCAATGTGTAACTTCAATCAACCCCACACCACACACTCCTTTTTCAGCAAATAAACGTCCAAGCCCTTGTTTAGGTTTAAGAAAGTTGTCTTTTGTAAGAGATAATAATGTTATTTATTTAGAAAATTGAATCAATCTACCACTTAAATCATCACAATATCACCACCAACAACAAAATCAATACAATATCACATACCTTGGAGTGAATGGTAGAGTTCAATCTAATCTTCAAGAAAAAGATTTTATTTAATTACATTAACTCAATATCATATTTACAGGGACAGCTGGACAACTATTACTCTAAAAACAATGCCTGCAATTCACTAACTCTAAGCACAAAAATCCTCAACATTTACTATTCATACAAACAGAGATTTCACAAATTGTAATCAGCCAAAATATACAAATCTTGTGAAAGATATTCTACCCAACAACAGCATGATCACAAAGGTCAATTAAGCATCAAACAAGCTGCAGCTTTTCTGGAACAAAGATGGATACAATAAAAACAAATCTTGAAACCCAACTCACCGATCTGCGACTGCAATGGTGGGGAGGAGAGCCGCGAGTCTTGCGACAGAGAGAGAGAGGAGATGACGAGCCGACGCCTGAGTCCCGACAACGTGAGAGAGAGGAGATGACTGGCCGACGAGGATGAGTGAGGGCGACCGGCAACGGTGGGACTGGGAATGTGAATGACGGATGAGAGATTGAGAGTTTACAGAATGAATGAATCAGGATTCAGGTGAGGTATACTGATGACTGATGATTGATGAGAGATTGAGAGGCAGGAGAGAATTATTATTTTGATTTGTTTTAGAGTTACTGAGTTAGGGACTTAGGGTTAGGGATTTGCAAAAATGGGTACCCGCGGGTTCACCCATATAACCCCTCAGTTATACGGGTTGGGCCAGGTACAGGTTTAAAAAAACGGGTCCAATATATTGGATATTGGACCCGTATCCCATATTTTTTACCTGGGTACGAGCCTACCCGCGGGTGTAGACCCATTTTGTCAGGTCTAGGTCAGACGGCCATAATCTTAAGAATAACATATTTTGATTTGATAATAAAAATTAAATTAGAGATATTTCATATAAAATATATGATCTAATCTAGGTTTCAGGATTACCGTAGGATAAGTTAAAAGCTTATGAACTTTATTAAAAAAATTAATGCGAAAAGTTGGTGCAGACACCACCCTGTCAAACATATTTTATAGTTTTCTCTTATATATATATATATATATATATTTTTTTTTTTTTTTAAATCTTGGGTTAACAGTTGTTAATTAAGTAGGCAAAATGTGAACGTCACAACATGTCTACAACGCAAATTCAATTTTAAGGAGGAATCGATATATATATATGACAGCGGGTGATTCTAAATACCATTGTCACTGGATGGAGAAATGTGGGGGGCAAATTTTATCTAATTAATAATTTATAATTAGAAGACAATTTCACATAACTATTCTATAATATATATTTCTTTTGCATATACTAAAGATTTCATTCGTGATGTAATAGTGGAATCTTATTTCATTAACATGACAATAGTGGTTGACTTTTTAATCTCGTTTTTCTAACTTTTGGATTGAAATACACTACAATCTAAGATTAATGAGAATCAGTATCCCATTCTAATCCTAATTCTCATTCATTTCCACAAATAAAACAAGGTCTAATACCCTCAATTTTGAACAAATTGAAAGAAAATAAATCTTAAAAAAACAGAAAAAAGAAATCATAATGATAAAAGGTGCTGCCAATGGGAGTGTGTTCTACAACCGTAAACAATTTTATTATAGGGTAACATTATATAATTGTTCAAGCTTTTAAAACCTGGTCCGACCCGGCCGGTTGAACCGATTCGACTAGGAATTGGTGATCAGATCGGGTCAGTTCATGTAAAAGAAAATCAGATTTATTAATTGACCCGCTTTAGACAGCGGTCGGACCAGTTTTTTGTGGCAAACTGTCAGTCCAACTGATTCAATCCGACGAGTGAACCACATTTTTATTATTTTTTTATGTCATGTTAACATTAGAATGATGTCATCACGCTAACATCAACATGATGACATCACTGTTCAACTCGACGATTAAACCGGTTCGACCAGCCAACCTAACGTTAACATGACATCTTGTACGGTAAGATGACGCAATAACTCTGGCGTAGTCTCCACCGAAATACTACACAAATTGCCACGTCGTTCAATTTATCCAAGTATAACGCATATTTTTTGCCGTATATTAGATGGATTACTAGAGCTAGTTGACCACGTTAGACGACATAAATTTACATTGTAGTCTAATTCCGAAAAACGATGCAACATATTGCGTCGTCTCGTCTATACAGCAACCAATGTTATACGACAAAATTATGGCACATTATTTCGCGTCGTTCAAAAATGAATACAACAAAATATTGTCCAAAACCGACAACCTTGTGGCGTCGTTTTAGATGCTTATTCCAGTAGTGTTAATCATTTAGCCTAATCATCTCTTTGGTGTTTAATCCACTGTTATATATTAAATCAATCAATCATTAATTTCAATAAATTCATTTTTGGTTGTTAAACAATCTTAATTAAATAAGAAAAAAACTATTGTTGTGAAGTCCCACATCTCCCCATCTGAGAGGGTGTGTGTATATATATGGGGTTATAGGTCTTAACCCAACATGACGCATTTTGGGCCTGAAGCCCAGAAACAAAACCGTAGTGCCAAAGTGAACAATATCATATTAGTCCATTTATAACACGTTATCAACACGATCGTGATGAGGACATGTGTTGTGAAGTTTCACATTGCTCCGTGTGAGAAGGGGTGCATGTATATATGGGGCTATTGGCCTTAACCCAACATGATGTGTTTTGGGCCTGAAGCCCAGAAACAAAACCGTGAGGCTCGGTAGTGTCCAAGCTAACAATATCATGTTAGACTATTTATAACATGTTATCAGTACGATCGCGATGGAAGAGGTGTGTTGTGAAGTCCCATATCGCTCTGTGTGAGACGGATTGCATGTGTATATATGGCTATAGGCTCTAACCCAACATGATGCGTTTTGGGCTTGAAGTCAAAAAACAAAACTATGAGGCCCTTTAGTGTCAAAACAGACAATATTATGTTGGGCTATTTATAACAACTATTAACTTTTGTGAAACTAAGAGAAAACTGTCAAAGAAGAGGTTGTGATTAATTATTGCTAAATCTAATACAATTCTCTATCCACCAAGAAAATTTTTGCAAGGGTAAACCAGTTTCAGTAGGTCTTACCTCGTTAATAAAATAAAATAAAAGATAATTCATATAAAATATTTGATCTAGACTAGGTTTAAGTATTGGATACTATATTTGTTCTCAACCGTAGGATAAGTTAATTAAAAGCCTATGAACTTTGAAAAATAATTATTAAAAAACCAATGCTAAAAGTTGGTGCAGACACCACCCTGTTACACTTTTTTAATTAAACATATTCTAAAGTTGGTCTTAAACATTACATTTTTAAAATCTTGGGTTAACAATTGTAATTCTACAGGCAACTTGTGGATAAGGAGAAGAGGAAGCACGTCCTAGCATAAATGTACAGCTAGAAAACAGGGATTAATTCTTAAATTTAAATCCGTTAATTATGCCGTCTTATTTAGATTACTTTTTATTGGAGAATCTAGATTAACTAATTAGGAGGAATCTTGATATACACGACAATGAGTGTTTAAAATTTCCATTGTCAATGTAGGAGGCTTTTTTTAATTAAATATTTTAGAATTAGAAGACAAGTTTACCTAACTATTCTGTAATATATTTCTTTCTATAATATTAAAGATTCAACATTGATGTAACAGTGGAATCTCATTTCATCACTCTTTCCACATACCTTTCCTCTAGCTAGTGATTTAAGGAAATCTTTCTTTTAAACAGTCAGATTGGAATATGCCCACAAGAGAAGCACATTATCAAGATGAACATGTATGTATATAGTGCTGGAGCCAGCATGGGCCAGGGTTTCTAATTTAATAACAGGTTAAAGAAATAATATAGTTATAATAGACGTCAATTAATTTTACTTAATAATAGAATATGTTAATTAAAATGATTACGTTGAAATGCCACATCAGTGCCTCAAGTAGATGACAAATCTTGAAGAAGAGCAATAATGTTCTGTCGTTCTGTAATTCAGTTACAAATCCTAACAAATCAAAATGTACAATTTTATTTGAAAACTATATATATAAATAGAGAGAGAGAGAGAGAGAGAGAGAGAGAGAACTACAAAATGGGATTCCTAAATTCAATTGTTCCCTTATTTAATTATAGCTACTAATCTTTAATTACTTCCTTTGGAGATGGAACAAAGTTGGACCCTCGTCCTGAGTGTTGTATTTATAGGGTCCATAAAAGTTTTCGTAAAGTCAATGAAGAAGCTTACACCCCCCAAGTAATTTCAATAGGCCCTTTTCACTATGGTAAAGAAGAATTAGAAGACATGGAAAAGCTAGAAGGGAGATATAAAAGAGAGTTTTTCATACGAACAACTTGTGAGAAACGTGAGCAAATTTTAGCCTTCATCAAAGACAACAAGCAAAAGATACGAAATTGTTATTCAGAGACCTGTGAGCTTGACAATCATGATTATGTGATGATGATTCTACGTGATGCTATTTTTGTCATAGAGCTCCTCTTGAGGAATTTTGAGGAAGATGAAAGAGACTTTCTGTTAGTTATACCAGCAGAAAAAAATGCTTTAAGGTTGGACTTGCAATTACTGGAAAATCAACTTCCATATTTTTTGCTTGAGGGATTATACAAGTTAGTAATTAGCAGCCCTTCCTTCATGCATCTTTGTTTTAAATTCTTTGAGGATCAGATGTTTGATAGTGTACCTGAGGAAACAGTGTTTAAACATTTCACCGATTTGCGAAGAAGTGCTCTAGTGAAAAGCTACCCGAAACAGAAGTTTGAATATCCTGAAATTGATTTACCTTGTGCGGCGAAGTTACATAAATCAGGAGTGAAATTTAAGGCTGTTCATAAAACGGATCAGTGCTTGCTTGATATAAAATTTGAAGTAGATGAGTTGAGAATACCACATTTGAAAGTTTACGACGAGACAGAAACTATACTTCGGAACATAATGGCTGTGGAGCAATGTCTCTATCCAGATGATACACGGGTTTGCTCTTATATTGAGCTAATTAATGGTCTTATTGATACTAAAAAAGATATGAATTTTTTTGCTGATGCGGGTATCATAAGTCATTTCATGGTAGACGATGCTTCAGTAGCAAATATGTTTAACAGACTTTCCTTGTATATTCATACGAAAAAATCCAGTTACTACGCCATTCGCAAGGATCTGAAAGAACACTATAAGAATCCTTCGAACCATACCAAGGCAGCCTTTATACTCTGGTTCGATGATCCTTTGAAATCTTCCGGAACATTTTTGGCCGTTTTCACCGTGGTGCTTACTTTGATACAAACCATAATTTCCATCATAGGAGCTGCCACCGGACCTGCTTGTTGTACGCCTTGTTGATTTTTATAGTTGCATTTGATCAGCTTGTCATTCTGATAATAGTGGGTTCAGTCCTTTTCCGCGCAATGTTCTTAATTTCTTCTTAAAACAAACATTTTGTTAATTATATCCTTTTATGAGAAAACAATAATTAGACTTAATTGCTCTTTGGAAAGGGAATTATTTCCCATCTTTTGAGTGTGACATTACTCGAATTTTGTCTAAGTAATTCTTGTTATTATAACTTTTGCAAGGAACTGAAAGTATACTATAACAATCCTTGAAACGAAACTTAGGCAAATTTGAAGAGTTGTTTATTTCAGCAATATCCGCAGAGGCACACCTGTTTCGGCAATTAATTTTACTCATGTTGCTCACTGCGATACAAATCATACGATTCTGTCATGCAATTAGTCTTTACTTTAATAATTGCAATAGACCCACCATCTAGGGTAAATAAGTTAAATTGAAACCTTCTAACTGATTTGTCATTTTGCATTTTTAATTAAATAATTTATTTTTACAAGGCTATTTTAGGGATTGCACATTTTATAGGATACTTCTAATATTTTCCCTTTACATAAAGTGTGATTCATACTGATCTTGGAGTTTATTCTTATTCCTTGGTTAGTTGAACAACTAAAAAAAGGAATTAGCATTACTTTCATTTGAGGATTTATCCAAACCAACCTATAAGAAATCCTAATTTCTTTCCTTGCGTGCTCGACCAAAGTTGTAGTTTTTGTTTAACCGTTGGATTAATGTGCGGACAAAAGAGGAAGCAGAAGAGAGAAAACGCATTATCGAATAGAGATCAGGATAAGAAATCTCTGTGAGCTGTGATATCCGAGAGGAAGGTCTCTGGAACTAGAAGGCGCTCTGGAACTTTCATCTATTCAGGTTCACAAACACTTTAATTTTAATTTTTTAATATCATCATATTTTCATTTTATAAAATTTTAGTTATACTTTAAGGTGATGTTTGGTCAACAGAAATATACCATCAAATGTGACGAAGATTCCTAAGAATATATGTTCTTTCTATTATTGTTGCCATAATTAGCATTTTATAGTTAAGACGTTCAGTTAATATTTCAAATTTCTCATCCTATATGATGTATTGTCTGATGTGGTGTTAATATTTAACTCTTCATTTACATAAGAAAGTCACATCTGACAACTCATTACTTGTAATGGAAAACATATTTGGGATATCATTTGAGAAGTTTAATACTATTCATTAAATATATTAATTCCTAACAATGGGTAAAGAATCTTAATCTCATTTATTTATTTTTAGCAAAATCTCATAGGAGATTGAGCCTAATATTATTTGTATTTTTCTAACAAAAAAACATAAATATACTTCTTGATTTATCTGATTATATCAATCCTTTTTTTTTTTCCAGATTGATTATAACTGGTATCATTACTTTTAAGAGGGGTTTATTTTATTTTTTAATATTATCATAAATTGTCAACTTCATATAATGTTGCACTATCATGATAATTAAGCATACAATAATGCTATGTACACAAAAATGGGATCTCAACTTTGTATTCCAACTTATGTGTGATAGTTAATTTGGAAACCTTGTCTTAATTCTAGGATGGAAAAATAAGTAAAAATAATTTGTCAAATCAAATGCCGCATGGATTAACCTTTTTCCAAAAATTCTTACAGGCCGCATGCAACAGATTTATATGGCACATGTGAGCACATACAATTTGTTTGTGATTTATATGAGAGATTGCTTAAAATTTTGAAAATGATTTCAAGTAAAACCAATAGGCAATTAATGATTTTCTTTTGCTAGTTGATCTTAATTATTAACTTCATTGTTAGCGACTTCTCTCTATTTGTCATAATTAGGACAATGAACTTGGAGATGAGTGCTTCTATTGAGGATCAGAATAATATTCGAGAGTGGCGTATTGACATTGAGGAGCATATTGACATTGAGGATACCTTGGAGTGGACTTATCAAGGGTATTGTATTTTCAGGGTTCCTCAAAGTATTCGGAAAGTAAACGAAGAAGCTTACACTCCTAAATTGATTTCAATAGGCCCTTTTCATCATGGTAAAGAAGAATTAGCTGAAATGGAGAAGCAAAAACCAAGATATATGGAAAGTTTCCTTAAACGTATAACTATGATCAAGATGGAGGAAATTTCAGCCTTCGTAAAGAACAAGGAACAATGTATTCGTAATTGTTATGCTGAGACGTTCATGGTTCCGAGGGATGAGTTTGTAAAGATGATTCTAGATGATGCAATTTTCATCGTCGAGCTCTTTTGGAGGCATCACAAAGGTGATACAAGTGATCTTTTGCTAAATATACCTGTCGTGCATAATGCTTTAAAATTCGATTTTCAGTTACTCGAAAATCAACTTCCATACTTTGTCCTCGAGAAAGTGTATAAGTTAGCTTTTGTTGGCCCTGGCATTGCTGACAATCCTTCCTTCATGGATCTTTCTTATAAGTTCTTTGGGGGCTACTTGTTCAAGAGCTTTCCCAGGTCACCTATGGAAGTTAAACATTTCACCGATTTGAGAAGAAGCGCTCTACTGATCAAGGAAGGCTGCTTTTCTAATAGTCGAAGTGACTCAAGAGTGAATTCAAATGTAAATATTGGAAGTTTACCTTGTGCAGTGAAGCTACGTGAGTCAGGAGTGAAGTTTATAGGAATTGAAAGAAAAGATTTACTTGACATAAGATTTAGAAATCTTTCATTTTTCAACATTCATGACCAATTGTAAATACCATGTTTGGAAGTAAGAGATGAGACAGAATGTTTATTTAGAAACATAATGGCTTTGGAGCAGTGTTACTACTCATTTGATACTCGGATTTGCAATTACGTTGATATGATAGACTGTCTTATAAATACTGAGAGAGATGTGGATTTGCTTGTTGGAAAGGGAATAATTTCCAATCATTTGGGGGATAATGCTTCAGTAGCTAATATGTTTAACAAACTTTGTTCTCAAATTTGTTTAAGTAATTCTTGTTACTATAACCTTTGCGAGGAATTGAAGGCACACTATAACAATCGTTGGAACAAAACCAAGGCAAAGTTGAGGAGTGTGTATTTCAGCAATGTTTGGAGAGGCACGGCAACTATTGCCGCAATTATAATCTTGTTGTTAACTATCCTACAAACAATATGTTCTATAATGCAAGTAATTTGATTTCTTGTATTAGATCCACCTTCTACTTTTAGTGTAATTTTGCATTTCAAGCTTGTCGTTATTCTAATAATATAAGGACTTTGTTTTTAATATATGTTATATAACATGGCTAGATCCTTTATCTTCCAAAGATTGTAATCGCACACACAGAAGTAAAAATAGATGCATAGTATAAGGTTTTTCTATATTCATAGTAATAACTATAATCATTTGAGTCACAATTAAAATTATTATAGCTTTTAAATCAGTCACTATTTCATGAGAAATAATATATACATATCAAAAATCAATTAACGATAAAATCCTAAGTTATATATTGAATCCAATTAACAACATTGGTTCGAACATGTTAGTAAAAAATATAGAGTTTGTGAGGAGAAGACTTTGATGATTTTCTCTATTACTGGCTGGGCATAAATAGCCATTGTACAAAGCTTTAGTCCTATAGTTTAGGACTGATTGACTAACTATAAGGAAACTATAATTGTCAAGATACAATCACATATTTACAAGGATTCTAGTAATTCTAGTCTATCTGTAAGGGATATATACAAGCCGAGCCGAGCCGAGTATCTCGGTACTCGAGCTCGGCTCGTGATGAACAGTACCGAGCTCGAGCTCGAGCTTGATTGAGCTTTAGTATTTGTGTTCGAGCTCAAGCATGGTACTGTGAAAGTGTACTCGAGCTAGAGCTCGTTTAATCGAGCTCAAACGAGCTTGAGCTTGATCGAGCTCAATACTAAAATATTGTATTTTCTCTCTCCCCTTATTTTCTCTTTCGTCCTTTCACAGGCTATCATCTCATTTTTTTTTCTCTTTCTCCCCTCATTTTCTCTTTCTTCTTTTCACCTATCACCTCATTTCGTCACCTCATCTTTTTTTTTTTCTCTCCTTCTCCCCGTCCTCTTCTCTTTCTGCCTTATTCCCTTCTCTTTTCTTACTTCTTCAAATCTTCTCCTTCGTCTTTTTTTCTTTTCTTTCTCCCCATTCTCTTCTCTTTCTTCTTTACTTCTTCCATATTCTCTTCCCTATTCTCACCTCCTCTTCTCTTTCTTCTTCTGCTCCTTCAGATTTTCTCCTTCATTATTTTTCTTTCACATTCTAAGCTTGAATGGAACCGAGATGAATGAAGGTTAAAGAGAAGATGAATGATGGATTTTTGAAGCCGAAAGAAAAAATCCCAAATGGGTTTTGAGTTTTTGTTTGAGCTTTGAAATGGGTTTATTGTTTTTATCTGGGAATGGGTCATGGGTGTTGTTTGTAATATTGACAACTTAAAAATAAAACTTTTAAAATCTTACAAATTGGCCCCCAAAGCTCGTTTAAGCTCACAAGCTTGATGAGCCGACCTTAACTCAAATCGAACTCGGCTCGTTACTGTTCATGAGCTGCTCGAGCTTGAGCTCGACTCGACTAGTTTCGAGTCGAAGTCGAGCTTACGACGAGCCGAGCTTGAGTAGCTCGCGAGCTACTCGGCTCGTGTCTCATCCCTATGTACAGCTAGCAGTAGAGACAAATTAGGGCCTTGAATATTGGAGAACCAAGTTGGAGATAATTACTCCTCATTGTCAACACTCCCCCTCAAGTTGGTGCGAAGATGTCGTTTATGCCTAGTTTGTCGAGATAGTCATTAAATGCTTGGTTTGACATTGCCTTGGTCAGCACATCAGCAAGCTGGTCTTGAGATTGAACATGAGGCAGGATTATGGGCAATATCACACGCTACCTATCAACCTCAACATGTTTAGTTCGATCATGTTGGACAAGATTATGGGCAATATCACATGCTGCCTTGTTATCACAATATGACTTCATAAGGCTAACTTGCTTAATATGTAAATCTTGCATCAGATTTCTAATCCACAACAATTCGCATATTGCATTAGCCATTCCTCTGTATTCGGCTTTAGCACTAGATCTAGCAACTACCTCCTGTTTTTCACTTCACCAAGTAACCAAATTTCCTCTTACAAACATGAAATAGCCAGATGTAGAACGTCTATCTTGAATTGACCCAGCCCAATCAGCATCTGTATAGCCGTTAATATTCAAGTTGTCTCCTTTTGTGAATAAAATTCCCTTTCCTGGAGATGACTTCAAGTAGCATAAGATATGAGTGACAGCATTCATATGTTCTTCGCTTAGGGAGTGCATGAATTGACTAACCACACTCAGCACATAAGCTAAATTAGGCCGAGTATGTGCAAGATATATTAATCTTCCAACCAGCCTCTGATAGCATTCCTTGTTAGCAGGAACTTGATTTGAATGCACACATAGTTTCAAATTTTCTTCCATAGGAGTGCTATCTGGACTACATGCTGTCATACCAGTTTCATTTATTAGGTCTAAAGTATATATTCTTTGTGACAAAAAAATACCTTTCTTCAATCTTGACACTTCAATTCCAAAGAAATACTTCAATTCATCGGGTCCTTTATCTCAACTCATGGGCAAGATGCTTCTGCAGTGTTTTCCTTTCTTTACGATCATTTCCAGTCACGATCATATCATCAACGTACACAATAAGAGCTGTGATTTGTTCTTCATTATGCTTTAAGAATAGAGTGTGATCTAAGTTACTTTGCTTGTAACCAATAGACTTCATAAAACTAGTGAACCTTCCAAACCATGCTCTAAGAGACTGCTTCAAACCATATAGGGATTTTCTCAACCTACAAACCTGTTTGTTACCTTTAGTCTGCCGATTACAGCCAGGGGCAACTCCATATACACTTATTCTTGGAGATTTCCATACAGAAATGCATTATTTACATCAAACTAGTGTAAAGGCCAGTCAAGATTCCCCACCAGAGATAATAGAATACGAACATTATTAATTTTGGCCACTGGTGTGAATGTCTCCATATAATCAATTCCATATATTTGAGTATATCCCTTGGCAACAAGTTTGCACCATTCAATAGTTCCATTAATTTTGTATTTAATGGTGAAGACCCACCTACATCCAACAAGTATCTTCCCTTTAGGCAAGTCAACAACTTTCCACGTTGAGTTCTCTTGAAGGGCCTTCATTTCTTCATTCATTGCCTCCCTCCATCTGGGATCTTTCAAGGCTTCTTGCATATAGTTAGGAATAGATACAATAGATATATAATTGATTCACAAATGCCATACTTTCCTTTGACAATCTATGGTAGGATACATAGTTATTTATGGGATATTTAGATTTAGAGTTGAGGACAGATTCATAGCTAACTTTGGGTTTCCTTCTTGTGACTCGATTGGGTAACACTTTTAGTTGAGGTTCAGATTCAGAATTTTCATGAGACTCAGGCATCGAATCGGCTAGAGAAGACAATTGGTTGGCTAGTAAATCATGAAAGACTGACGACACTGTTAGGAAACGACCCGGTTGTGCAGCGGAAAACAAAAATTTTACAACCACGGATCGTTTCTTAGAACCCAAAATCAAGGCACAGATTTTACAGTTTATGCATAATATAAGAATTTGCAGAAAAATAAATCCAAAGGTTTGAGAAACCATACCCACGTTGGAGGCTCCACCAATATTGCCTCTAAACATGTTTGCTACCGATCCAAGTGTAGGATCGAACCAAGAAGTCCACACGAAGACAACCACCAAGAACCAAGGAGGGATTTGCTAGATCCTCCTTGGGCTTAAGAAATCAAGAAGAAAATGAGTATTTGATTTTTCAATCAAAAGGATGAAAGTGGCGTGGGAGAGTCTCCAAAAGGCTGCTGTGTGTTATGTGTATCTTTTTCTTTCAAAAAGGCAAATATAAATTCATCATTAAATCACACAAACACTATTCCTTTTATAGGCAAACCAAGTTGCCCTATTCCCACATGGAATGGGCTTGGGCTCCAACCCAAACACCCCATGTTGCCAAACACTCCCAGTTAGATATTTTAATTTAATTCATCATTATCTTAATTAAAATCAATTAATATTTAATTAACATTTAACAATAATGATGATTTAATTAAATATGTGCGAACACACATTTAACCGTAATTTCACTTATTTAATTTTTAACAAATTAAATAAAAGGCTACGACCTCAGCAAATTTAATTGCACTGTGAAATTACCAAAATACCCTTTCGCCTAAAAAGACGAAAACGCCCTTCTTTCTTCTTGGCTCTTAAATTATCTTCTATGTGTGTGACCCATAGGCTCCTCATCATACCGGTAGTGTATAGTATCGCGATTAACACCAATTAATCGTCTCACTAATACACAGACCAAGATTGGCCCCTAGCAAGGCATCATGGCCACCCGATAGATTCGGATTCAGCAAAGTAGCTACCTGTCAACGATATGGTTACCGTACAATTCGATCCTTTCATCATACGTTATCTCGACGAGACGAAGGCATAGAAATAGTGTCAACCTTCGGTTACTCTCGATATTATATATTCAGTTTCTGGACCAATGACCCGTATTATAATCTGGATAGAGCAACAACTCAATCCCACTGTGGCCACAGTTTTAGTGTCATTGCCATATACTGAATTGCGCCGTGAGATAACTTCTCCCGTACCCGGGAGTGATGAATCCTTTGTCAATCCACCATAGTCTTGATACACTTCTTGATATAGCCAATCACCACCGTACTGACAGCTCTGAATAGAACTGCGTTAGGCTAGTGTCAAACTGTACCAGTCGGTGCACAAGGCACTCCGGTGACCTCAAGTCTAAGGATCACATGCACCACCATTCGTTAGAGGATTTGTTCCATAGACACTGGGGTTACCATCCATATGGAATCCTCTGGTGGGTCAGTCCAGTGAACTTGCTGCGGTATATCCGCCTACAACAAGCACCCATGTGTTGCACCAGGTTGTCACCAAACAACCTTGACAAGTGAGATCAGTCACTGCCTTTCGACAGGGTCGTTCAACACTATGATAGCCTTACCGTATTATCTGTGCCCTTACTTCAGAATAATACTGGGGCTACGGACGTTTCTAGAATGGCCACCATATGTGCTCATAGGGTTCTCACTATCAAGATTTGAAACACTTGATACCCT